AACACTTGGAGTGAATATCTGTTGAAATAATAGCTTTTTAGTGTATATTTTTATGAATTTTTACATTTTGTATGTTGTTTTGATTGTTAGTGTCGTCGTTGTATATTGCCCCGAGCTTAGACTAAAACGTAACGTGCCTTCTTATTTTAAATAGTAAACTACCAACGAACTGTTAGGTCTTCTGTAGGATCACGGGCAAGGGAAGTATTCTCTATTTTTTTTCTTTGTGAGTGTCAGAAGTGTGGTTAGACTGAAAATAATATTAAAAATTTCATTATCAATTAAAAATTAGGTGTGTTTTACGCAGAGACATAACTCTTTTTTTTTTTTTATTCTTCCAAACGTACAAGTTACATGCGCATTTATTCTGGATGAAGGAGGCGGGGACATGCTATTCGGAATGAACCAATAAACACACTACTATATCACCTGATCATAAGCGTAGTGGTAACGGAAAAGGTTCATTGCCATTTCTAGTAGGGGGTATATCCAGATTTAGGGCTTGCGTCTAACGCAACATTAGTACAATTTTTTCTTAAAGCTGAATTTATTAGCTGTCTTGTATAACAGCCATAACGATAATAATTCGTTGTTCGTAAATAAATACTGTTTTTGACTAATAATTAGACGACTTTTTATCACGTTTGTTCGGTTTTGTAGCTTATTTCCGGGTACAACCAATCATACAAAGCGTCATGAATTGAAAAAATAGGGTCTTGGCTTACCATGATTCTACGAGTCAATATGTTTGTAAGTTGTAGGCTTTTATCATGTGTTCAGAAGAAATGGCAAACGCTGATATAATAAAGAGAAAATCGTACACAGGTTTGGGCGTGGATGTCCTAGAAAAGCCAACGAGGGCATCGTATCCGTATGCAGGTCAGACGAAGCGAGAAGACAACTCTGCAACTGGAAGTGAATTTACTTATACTTCAGAAGGTGTGCATTCTGAGTGTGGCTTACCAAAACCGTCGCTGCTTTCCAACATAGCTCATGGGTTTCAACTTTCCGAAAAAAAAAACATGCAGCAATATCAGATGAATCGAAATCGTCACGGTACTGGCAATGATAGTTTTTCCTTTTCTAAGCAGTCTGTTCTGAGTGCAATGGATCGCTTTGTGAAATCCGTAAAGAATATGGATGCGACAGTTCTTGTACCCTCACGTCTTAAGGACATGGATATTAACAGTGAAAGTACTGAGAAGCACCCACTTCCTATTGATCTACTCTTTAAAACTGATTTGTTTAGTTTCTACTCAATGTTACATGATGTCAAAAACGAATTATTGTGGGGACCGTCTTCGACTCGTGTATCAGATACATCAACCCGAATGATACAGATACGCTCTTCGTCTGCACTAGGCCTACAAAAACCCTTACAATTCGAAGAGAATAACATCGCACTCGGAAGCACAGGTTCTACGTCCGATACGGACAGCCTAGCAGATAGTGAAATGGATAGTATAGGCCTGTTATCTCACGACCAGAATGTGGGGACGGTAGGAGCCCAGACTGCTCGTTTAGCAAATTCTTTCCGTTATCACCTACAAGGATTACAAACTATTTTGAACCAGCTATCTGACTCTGCTGACTATTTGTCATCACGATATCAAGAAGAAGTTGGATCAGATGCTTCTGTATAATACTCTTTATGTAAAGGGTAGTATTTCACCGTTATTCACTTATTGTTAATATTCTTGTATTGTGGTAAACTTAGAATATCACTTAAATTAAAAGTCAGACGATGGATAATTTTGTTGCTGAATGTTTTACTCAAGTGTCAGTTTCAGATGTACTTTTAATTTAAACTAAAGATTATTCATTCAGTAAACGTAGAATATGAGTTAGTCAATAAAGATGAATTTTCAAGTGTTAGTATAAATTTTTAGATGCGTTAAGGATAAAACTTGATCAAGGTGATGAATACTGACGAACGCGGTTTATGTTTTAATTTAAACTAAAGATTATTCATTCAGTTATTTGTGTCTTATTATCTCAAAAAGTTTATTCACAAATAAACGTGAAAATATGTTATTCTGGGCCTGTAGTTAATTAGGATTAAAGGAATAAAATTATATGTTAAGTCATGTGAGCAAGATTAACGAAATAATTTATTCAATCAGGTCAGGAAAATATTGTTCAACTACAAGCTATGTCAGCTGGGTTAAAATATATGTAGTTATATGGCTTTAAAAAAAAAGAGAAAGAAATTGAATTTGGAAAAGTTGATAATTTCTTGACTTTCATACGTTTCAGCCGTGAGAGAGAAACTTATAGTTATACTCAGTAGGCCTACTTGTTTTATAGAAATGTTGAACCTAGAAGCGATGACAACTTATAAGTTATAACCAAAGAAGTAGACTTTTGTGCACAAAAGTGTATATGAAATAGAGAAGAAAAACAAACGGATAATTGTTATTGGTATGTCCTATCACCAGAGGCTGAGGAGAATTCAAGATAATTAGATATTAATAATAGAATGTTAATATCTAGAGAAGTAGTATTGTCATATTTTTAAGTGTTTGTTTAATTTCATTGGTTAAGCTGTGCAGTTTAGAAGTTATTCACTATTGATAAAGTCCTTAAACTAAATTGCCCTCTTTTATGTGTTTGGTGTTGATCGTCTTGCCGTTAGACATTTCATCAATCGCGAATGTAGTTTTATTTACTAAGGTCACATAATGAGCGTTAAAAATGGTATTCCACTTTAAAAATATTTTTATCTTTTTTAGACATGTTTTTTTTTCAGACAACTGTTTTAATTTTGTATTACGAACGGGGTTTTTACAGTACATAAAAAGTAAAACTTTTAGTGAATGTTATGATTTACTGAATTTAGAAAGGAGAAAGTTGTATCGTGTTGGATAAGCATTAGAATAGAAGCTGCATCATTAATGCTTTTGTCCCCCAGTGGCACAGTGGTATGTGTGTGAACTTATACCGCTAGAAACCGGGTCTCGATATCCGTGGTGGTCAAAGCACAGATAGCCCTTTATGTAGTTTTGTGCTTAATAAGAAACAACAACATTAATGCTTTTACTTTTAGAAGTATGTGTATAACTGTTATATTTCTCGTGATGCATTTGAAACTATTTTGAATGCTAGTTTAAGCTGTATAAATAAAAATGCACGGTAAGTTGTTTGAAGCCTCTCTCTCTCTTTATAAATATATATATATAAGTTCATTTGTACGTGAAATAAGACAGAAAGTGAACATCTATCTGAGTGATATATATCTTTGGCGTCTAGAAAAAATAGGAATAGGTGCTTTCTGGTACTGTATTTTTAAGCATGACTTATACATTTGTCGGTTTACTAAACTGGATTTATGCTAAGGCATACTATTTGGTACAAGTGAAAACATCTAACTATATGTAATTCATTGTGAGACTCGGGTTTCATGTACATCTTTAAAACAACTTGGCATATTTAATAAGAAAACTCATTCATTCGTTGTTTTATCATCAACATATTAATAGAGGTGTGTGTGTGTGTGTTAAGTTAAAAAAGTAAACTAATAATAAATTACAGACAGCAATGGCTGTATTTAGGACTTCACTGGTTACATTGACTGTATTCCATCAGTTTCAACATAGCCTCCATTATTGTTGTTTGCCATTCAAAATTATTATCAGCTTCTGATTTTCACTTTCTATTTGATTGTTGGTATAAGTTACAAATGTAGCATTGGCCATTTTGGAAGTAGCCCAGCCTTCTCAACTGTTATCCTGGTTTTTAAAAATTTAGCATAGAAAATGCTTTTGGTCCGTGACGTTCTTACAGTTGTAGCATATATTTACCTTCAGAACAACACAGTAAACCACTTGTTCACAACGAGCCAGCGACATGGAATCTACATAAAACAATACTACTATCAGTAAAACAGGTGTGTAATGTCGCTAATTTGGTGAAGTCTTTATCTACAGTAAATATTTGTTGGTCCTGCTGTCCTGCAGATTCTTTAAAAGTACCAACCAACATATTCACGTCTCTTTAGATTCCTCTTTACAAATGCTTAAGAAGTTATTCTACCTATACCACTTTCGTTATGAATTATTAATAAAAACATTAATTAATCACAAACATTAACTCTGTAAGTTGCACCCATAAGAAAATTATCATACAGTATTTTCATTAATTGTTTATGGATCAGTAAAACGTGTAAGCCACTATTTTCATTCATGCACATTAAACACTTCACTTTCAAAGAGTTTCTGTAATGCATTAATAAGGTGATTATGACCACGTGGCGATTGCACACCTTTGTAACACACTTTCATATTCTGTGGGTCCTTTTAAAGTAAGATGTTTACTTTTATTTTGCACAATAAGGTTTAAGAGGTTTGGATTGTTTGCTTAAAATGTGATCATATCTGTAAACGTTTCCATTCTGGTTTCCTAATGCATCTGTTTTGTGTGTACATTTGACTCAAATGTTCATCAAGTACATATTTGTATTCTAGTTCTTCATTCATAATGACCAAGCATTGACATTTGTAATCATAAAATAGTATAAACCTGTATGGATATTCTCCTACAAGATACTTTAAAAAAGGAAAAGTTCAAATATGTAACAAAAAAGAAACACATTCAGAACCACAAGGCCATAATAAGAAAGGTAGTGGTAGAATATTATTCCTTTGGTGATGGCCTTCTTTTTGCTTTGCGTATTTCACTGCTAAGTTCTTGTATTTCAGAATTTTAATTTTAAAACCTTTAATTAAATATATATGAATTTATATACATATCACAAAAACATTGAAATTTGAACAACTAATAGCAATAGATAATTGCTTTCTAAATAATAGACAAAACTTCAAAAATACATTTCACAAATGAAACAATATATCAAATTTGATATATGATGAGGTGGGATATTTATCCTTACATTACCTTCCAATTTGACTTTAGTATCGGGTATATGGACTTAGAACCAACCAAAGTTGGCCAAATCTCGAGATTATATTATTGGATTTACAACCGAAAATATTGTTAACAGCAAGGATACCCAACTGATGAAACATTTAATATTTAAAGTAAGAACGTGATAAAAGTATATTTTATTAGCTATACTCATCACAGAGTTGGATATTAGTCTTGATGTAAGTAGGTACCTTTCTTTGGTCAGAATTTAATATTAGTTACCCAGACAAACCAAGTTCCATGCTTAAAATATAACTAATGTTTAAATACTTTCAAGGTTTTATAAACCTTTCTACAAAGTATATATCATGTTTTTATAGGCCTGTTTTCCAACACAATAGCATTTTTATCATTCTTATTTCTTGAGGTTAGTGGCAAATATTACGAAAATTAATTATTTCGTAAACAGCACATCGTGGTTTTAGAGGCTGCATGCAAGAACTTCCTCTATTTATGACTTATACGATTGGTTACCAAGTGTCTGCTGATAAATAGTAAAATAACAGTTATGTATTATTATTTTCAGTGGTTAAGGTGATGATGAGCCCAGCTATGAAAGTTGCTAGGGTCAGCTGTAATAACATGAAAGGATTAATTGTGAATTTTTCTTTTCTTCACCAAAGAAAAGGAAGAATCCATGAATGACGTAGAGGCCTAATACCCTCTCTCTCTTTGTTGTTAATCCATCTACAGAAACCTAGTTTTGCCAAATTCACGGCTTATAGATACTGCTTGGGAGAACAGACAAAAGAACTATAAGTCTCTTATAGCGATGGAATGCAAACACTGTGCGTTCTTTATTTTCTTCCCTGAAGTTACACAGTTTAGCGACGAAAAGAAAAAAAATCACTTAATTTACCAGCTTAGTCCTTTGAACAATTACAAATAATGGATTATTCAAGTACTTTAAGTATTTTCGGTTATCTATTAGTGATAAGTAAAGGACTTTATATCAAATCCTACAAGTTTTATAGGATAATTGAAAGTTTATTGAAAAACTGCAATGAGGAACATAAATAAGATTATATACTCGGAAACTGATATTCACCGGGTAAAACTGTAATTGTGCTCTCCCCCCCCCCCCCAAAAAAAAAGAACAAAAACACACACACTATTAGGTGGATCTAAGAGAATGGGCGTGGTGAACATTTTACCTTGTCATGTAAAGTCATCATCCAAGGTCGTACAACACTTGGTTGTCATCAAAACTGATGGCGACTTTCTTCTCTAACATACAGTATATAGTTAATAAAATGTTGTACTGGATAGTTTACATTTTAAAGTTTTCCAAAAGAAGTGACCTAGTAAGTTAGACACCGCTTTTCCTCCCCGCTCCATAATTCCACAGGAACCACTGATTATTCTATAATGTACTTTGTAAATTCAAGTACTCCTTTCCCTCTTGGGTTAGGCTTGTCATGATACGAACATAGTTTTCGCGTGTGAAAACTTATCAACAGGTTTTTGTTTATCTTTTATTGTTTTTATTTTGTTATGAACCTCCTAGACTGAACATATATACTTTTTCAATTCCAGAGTGTGAAAGAGATGGCGTCCCTTTATATTTCGTTATCTGAAAACTATAAATAAAAGGGGGGGGGAACACTCAAAGAAGGTCTGTGATTGGATCAAAACCTGCAGGGACAGTAGTACCAGTAACTCGGTTTCTTTCCCGCGTTTGCTAGGGCTTTAGATACTATGTTTCATCAATTATATATTAGAAGGAATTTTCAAATTTGGCGTGAGTTTTAGAATATGCCAACCTGGCTTTTATTAATGTTAATACTATTATCTGCGTTAAATATATGTTTACGTGAAACTAAGCATCCCCCTAGCGGTATTGAAAATGCATTGATGACACAGTAGTTTTGAATATTCAGATATTAAGGCTTACTAAATTGTGTAATATAGATACTGTTAGTATCAGCGGGTTTAATATGGACTAAAATAATATAATTTTTTTTAAGTGGCAGTGGTGTAGTATTAGATTGTAAAAAAATGTGTCTGGACAGGAGATTAGAGCAACGTCTCAAAACATTATTTTAAATAAATAGTTTTTAAGTGAAATGTTTGGAAGGACCGTTTCTTTATTCATTGTTCTCGTCACATTTCATTGGTTTACGTAAAGTTAGTTAATACTTTTTTTATTTTATCAGTAATTAGAATACATTGGAAATTTAAAAATATATATACGAGAGAGCGACCAAACTTGCGATAAAAAGTGTCTGGACATCACTGTCTATCGATTCAGAAAATATTACAAATAATATTTCATTTTAGAAACTTTGCCAGTTCGGGTGTTCAGAGCGATTGAAATTTAGAGATATTTAACAAAATAAATAATTATGGTATTCGGTTGAAGAAAAAGAAGTGTGTTAACTCGGCGAATTTTGTGTGTCGTCAACTAATATTTTAACATAACGATGATATTGATCAGTAGGTCAGTTATATAAAGTGTTAATGAGATGATTGATATATATACACTTCATTCGTAACGACTACTCGTCTTGTTTGGTTTAGCGGTAGAGCTACACGTCCCTAAGTGGCACAGCGGTATGACTCCGGACGTACAACGCTAGAAAGCGGGTTCAGATACCCGTGGTGGGCAGAGTATAGGTAGCCCATTGTGTATCTTTGTGCTTAATTTCAAATAAACGAACAAGAGCTACACAACTGGCTGTCTGCCCTGTGGGGGAATCGATCCCCGGTTGTAGCATTATAAGCTTAACTTAAGCTTGTCACTGGGAGAATATTCGTCATTCAAAGCTTTATGGTCATAAATGAATTACTTATTTTTTAAACTCGTTTTTAAGAAGACGAACGGTTCATGTTAGAATACCGCTCTAATCAGCACTGAGACGAACTGATTCTCAATCAAAGCTAGCTAAATTTAATATATTTTTCAAAAGCTTTTATTGAAGATCAAATTTAAATAAAAAAAGATTATTAAAAAGTGATAGTATATGATTTTAAAATAGTGTTTTTATATTATCAACGCGGAAACAGCTGTTAAGAAAAACTGGGACGAAACATCTAAAAATAGACTAAACTTATAACCTATAAAAATACGCATGACGTAAAAATAGCAAGCGTTCAAGTTGTAATAATGGTTAATAGTGCAGACCATATTTAAAAAAATGGCTCGAATTAAAAGTTAGTATCTTGAATCTCCAGATTTTTTTTGGGGGGGGGGCATTTCTATTTATGGTACAACGTGCTTAGATAGCTTGCATATAACTGCACGTGTTATGATGAGAACTCTATGATAAACAAGTTATGTTGAAATAAATGTTCATGCAAGTTGTCAAAATAAAACTGAATACTCATTACTTGAAGTTTGTACGTACATAACAATTATAGTATGTAATTCCCGTTTGAATAACTATTTTGTACTTTATTATATAAGGTAAACGAACTGTCATTGAAATCCTTCAATTTAAGTACAGTTTCGAACTATCTATAGGAGTATGTAAGTATGAACAAACAACCACAGCCTGCTGAAGCATATTTGGTTGCATCAGCGTATGAGAAAATATGTAGTATTTCTTTGGCCAGGAAATTATTGTACAGTATAGCGTTCGCGTGGTATGAACGGTACGGCACGGTACTTGCCCATTTAAATTACACCGAGAAAAAGGATCGTTGGCCGTTCGTTACGGTTGAATATTTTATAGTTGTGCTAATGATATTTGTTTTGCTGTTAACCTGCAAGAAGTAAAGGTGACACGTGCAATTATTGTTTATTTCTGGTTCAAAAGAGGATTCATTCGAACCTTACATTGGCAACGCTCGTATAGGGGAATAACTTTGGAAACATAACTGTCTTCAAAAGCAGAACGAGAACTATGGCTGAAAACGAGATTTGGATACGAAATCAAATCATCGTGGTAAATTGTGTTACGGCTTTCGACGTGTAGCTAGCTACATTGTGGTTTAACACAGGTAAGAATTGTCTTCATATGGAAAGTTCATTGACATATATTTAAATCTATATAATAATATAGTTACGTAGAGGTGTTTCAAGAAACAACGTAGAAAGTTGACGTATGTTGTACCGATACAGCAATCGCATTTTCACGAGATACCTCTTGTAAGCCAAAGAAATTGTACCTGCTGAACAAGTCTACTTCATTTCTTTTTACCCTAAAAAAATATCATTCTTAGCACTCATGCAGTAACGGAGGCAAACATGTAAATAAGTTCTTAACTTGAATATGAACTAGTCTATATATGACACGCATTTTTGTGGAGGCATGTGAAACATTGGCTGATATAATAAATACTTTAACGGTCAAGAAAGATGACCTTCTGGAAGGAAATGTTGCGGATAAAACGAGAAAATTAAGAATTTTAAAACTAAGAACAGAAAGTTGTCTTTTATTGTACCCAAGGTTGTGTATTTTTATTCTAGGTTCATTAATTCGTAATGACTTTTTCAGATGAATTGTCATTTACCTTTAGCTAGTAGGGTGATTTTTGGTGAAGTCACACAGGCCCAAAATATACATATATTATTAAACCATAATTGTTTAAAGAAATACTTGATTGTGCTACAAATATTCGTCTAATGCGTGAAAAAATAAAATCTCAGTCGTATTACAAATACAAAAAAAAAATTATTAAGCGTATTAAAAGACACGAATTGCTTGGGGTCATATGAAAGTAGCATGGTGATCAGTGGTTAACGTGAATATGCCTTTTAATTAACCTTATATAGGTGGTAAGAAATTATCTATAATACTTCTTCCCACGTTTCCATAGAAGTATGGAAACAAAATCTCACACATCAGTTACTTGTTTGGAGAAGTTAGGGTTACCTATTGTTCAAAAATAAATTTATAAAATCTTAAACTATTATTGCTTATGTATAAATAACGCTTGGATATAAACAGCTAAGTATTCGTCAGAATACGCTTTTTTTTCCCTGTTCATCATGCTGTTGACAAAAGAGATTGAGTTGGCCAAAATATACATTTTTTGGGGAATGGAATATTTTATGTTTCTTTGTTCATTTTGTATTATTAGGTAACATTTAAACCAATGGAAGTTTGTTAACCATAACTCTAAATATTTTTAAAATAAATAATCAAATTTTATTATGTTTTATTGTCTCTTTTTTTTTGCGTTATAGGAAACATCTGTATTAACTGTTATTGAACTTATACTTGAAGTTATGTAATATTTGTTTATAGTGTCTAATTTGAACACTTGTTTGCAGAATACTGTTTTATGAACTTATGAAGGTAGTATTCAAGATTTTGACTAACCTACAATTTCATACTTGGGATGAAATGTTTATGTTTTATTATCTAATGTTAAAAAAAATATGAATGAAAGCTGTGGTCAAAGATGCGTTATAAAGGAATTTTCTGAAAGAACAACTTGTATGTTCCATCTTACTTGTTCTTTACAAAAGAAATTATTCTGTTTTTGTGAGCATGTCTTAGACAGTATTACTGAATGTCTATTGGTCATTCCAAATGTGTATGTTGGTATACTGTTGACTGTACTTTCAATTTCTTATGATTAATTTGAAAAGTTTTAAGTTTTCATTTATATGCATTCCAAATTAAACTTGTAAAGTAATAAGTATTTACAGGGATAATATTACACAGACACCACTGTAATATGGTATTGTGTAAACGAAACCCTTCAAACACATTTCAGTATAAATTATTGTGAAGGTTGTCCAGAACATTCTAAAGTATTTTGTGGTTTTAATTATCATCACTTTAGTCATTGAATTACATCAGCATATTCTTGAAAGACTTTTTAAAACATAAGTTTATATTTTTTGTGATATCAGTTTGCGGGTGTATCTTATTGTATTGGACAGACTTTTATTTAATTATATGAGAATCATGTAATAAGCTTGACACATCAATTTTAACTTTACATATATTAATTTTTGTAGAAATTCTTCTAAGATTGGATATATGTAACATTAAAACTTCATGAAATGTGATAGTTACAGATAAGATGATGATTTTAAGAACTTTGCAGTATATGCAGGGATACAGATACAACTGTATATGTGGTTGAATTTGACAAATATGCAGAAACTTATTAAAAAATAAGGAAAAATTATATATGCAAATTGCTTGGTTTACCTTTAAAAGTATGTCCATGAAGTATAGGTGATTTATTATTTGAGATTGGGAGATTATTCACTTAAATTTTTATTGTTGGAAAACAAGGTTTGTTGAAATTAGCTTATATGACACTATTCCAGCATTATTTTTAGGATTTTTTTTGTTTATTATCAATTTTCTTCTTAAGATGTATTGTAAAATCTGGGAACAGTGAATAATATAGGTTTCTATGCATAAAGAGCAAGGGAGGAAGTAATAAATTCAGTAGCATATAATCATGTATAAAGTTAAAAGTTCTAGGATTGTTCTGTGATCTTTCATGAATACTAATGGAGAATATTGTAATTACTTATAAAGACTAAATAACAGGTAACATTTTCTGTTTAAATAATTGTTGTAGAATCTCACTAAAAATTTACAATGAAATCTTGTCTTTGAATTGTTTTATTCTTAATAAGTCTTCGGAAATCAGTAAATACATTTGTTTTAATAACACCACTCATATGTAAAGTATATATATATACACATACACAAAGATATGATTTAAATAGAAATTGATATATATACCTTTTGTGATATTTTCCCCTTCAAATTGGACAAGTTTTTACATAAAAACAAAACATTCGTTCTGGAATATTACATAGTTTGCTTAATTCTGTTGATTAGATGACACTAAATCTTGTACAGTTAAAGGATTATAAAGAAATGCTAAGAGCATTGTGAACAAAATATAATGTCTGATGTCATATTATAAGTTTACCTCATATTCTGTTGTTAAATGTTCCAAGGGTTCTCTGTCAAAAAAAAGAGTCACCAATACACCGTTGAACACCAATTTTTTTGAATTAACAGATCTGGAGACATTTGTTGATTATAAATTATTAGCTGAAACTTGTTTTACAGTAATTCATGTATTTAATTTAGTATATAAATGATTCACAGACATATTAATTTTTTGTTTGTCGTATCTTCCTTTAACAAAAGTATTTTTACTATTCCAGCTCTTTTGCATAAATCTATGCTTATACCTACATATTTCTTTAAGTTACATCACATATTTTATTTTGTCATTTGATTCAGATTTTTTACACCTTGAGAACTGTCTTCCTTTTCACCTTGTATTATTTACCTTAGGTTAAGACAGTAGTGCTTTAATATACTTTATTGTAACTTTTAAAATGGTTAGTAATCATTTTTGTGATCTATGTCAGAGTGAATCTTATTCCTTTAATTATAATTATGTTTTTGTTGTGACACATCATTTTGTTTCTGTCCTTCTGAATGCCATTTTATGGTCCTACTTTTCACTAATCTACTTTGATAGTATTTTAAGTCTATGGTTGCATTTCCCCTTGAAATACATAGCTAACTAAGCAAAATTATTAACATTTTGAAAAGATGAACTAAAAGAAGTTTTTTCTTACATACACAAGAAAGATAAAAGAAATATATACCATTTGTATCAAAAATTGAATTATTCTTCTAGTTACACTAGAAAAGTTTATAATTGTAGTTTAAATTACAAATGATACATATTCTATGATAAATATGCATGCTTCAAACATTTAAATTTCCAACTTTTTTTTTACATTATTGCCCTTAAAAAATCAAAGTTGGCCTTATTAACCTTCCGATAAGAGGAGTTTGAAATGATCATTTCTAACCATAACTTGACATAGCTCATTTGACAAACAGTTGGTCATACAAGTTTTTGTTAGTACACATTTTAATATGTTTCACATATCAAAGCATACCTGATCGACAATGAAAATATAACTTAAAAAAAATTAATTTACATATCTTAAGACTAGAAGAGCAAATATTAGGCCTAGATGGGAAAAGACCGAAGATGGAGAAATGTTTTATTAATTTTTTTACTATAATAAAGAAGAAACGTCTTTTCAGATGGATCCATTAATTCACAAGAATATTTAATTATTCCAAAGTTAATTTCTTTCACTCAAAAGATTTCGAATGGTAACAGGGAAATATAAATTATGTATGTATCGATAATGCTGCCTTTAAGTATACTTGCAAACCCTCAGTCTTATTTTTCTAGTTTGTTTTTAAGAAATATTGTTTCATACTTATTAAAATTAATGTTCATTTTCCCTAATAAAATAATTTTGAACATTTTGGAAACTTTTTATTCCTTCAAATAATAGCTTGTTTATCACCATTAAAAATTACATTAACGAATTCAGTAAGTGAAATAAAAAAATGTAAAGGTCCATAAGTACTTTGAGAAAGAAAAGAAACAGTTAAAAATACAAATGGACAAAGTAACACTTAAATTATATGCTAAACTTATTGGCATTTTATAGATGACACAGCGTGTGTAGCAACTTTTGATTTATCATTCATTTAAAAAAATGTACTAACATACAGCTAACAGATGACGAAGAGCACTTAACCCTCGGAACAACAGGACTGACGACGGTTTGTGATGAATTTCACTCTCAAAAAATGTACGTGCTGCACGTGAAACAAGTCACGTATTTGTTTGCAGGTTATGTGGATAAAAATAAGAAGTCAGTAATTTTGGTTTGTGTCACATCTGCCTATCTGGTACCCCCTGTTCATAGACCTGCTTACCCTCACCGCAGGCCTTAGTTAGAGAAGGATGGAACGACACAGAAAAGGAAAAATATAATTAAAACGACAAGCACGTACCTTCCTCCTCCTTTTGGAATGTGCATACGTTGATCGACATTTGCGTGTACTTGCATCTATGAAACCATCCAATTCTTTTGCCCTTCTTGTTCCTCCTTCATGAGATCAGATACCAAGGTATCTTCCCAACTAAACTTGCTGGCATATTTAATTTGTTAACCCTAGGAGACTCGTGATATAACAAGAGAATTGTTATGGGGCTCCCGATAAAAGACTTGGGCTTTGAATCCATGAAAAGTATGAATTAGACAGAGCGACTTCTGGTGTCTCTTGTGCAAGATCCCATGCTCTGAAATGAACAGTTGGATTGAACATCTGAGCAAACAGTATATAATGAAAGGAGTGGGTGAATGGCCTTCTTTTTTTAGCGATGTTTTTGCTTTATATTCTACTTTATTTACTCCATAGTTTGATTTTAAAATCGTGAAATAGTTTGAGCTACTACAACATTTTACCATATTTATGGACAAGTTAACAATCTCAAAATAAACAGCACACGAGGAAAAAAGTTGGTGATGGGTCTTTTAGGGGAGGGGGGGATCCTGTCTTTAGAGTTATACACAAGTTAATTTTCTAACAATTTTGCTAAAACATCGAAAAATGTAACTATTTTACATTATTTTTACAGAAAGTTAAAATAATATCTCGATTAATATGACATTGATTATTTGAAAATAGTGTTGAGGTCACGTAGAAGATCCTACCATAAAGTAATAACTCTAGTGTTTCATGGAGTTGGGCTGTTTTCATTACCGGCATATAAGAACTGGCCGTTGCTTTATATTCTAATTTATTTATTCTATGGTTTAATTTTAAAAGCTGTTAAATAATTTCCAGT